ATTTAGTAGCTTTGCTTTGCGGACAAAAGAGATTGGCTGAGTGTTGATGATGTCAGTGTAAGATTATGACAAAAACATCACATTTCGTAAGAATAACAACAATACGTTGGCGTTTGCATCAAGGGAAAAGTTAGCACTTCGAATTATGAGTGGAAATCATTACTGGGAAATGGTAGAGTGCCAACAAAAAGATGACCAAAGTTTATCTCACCCTTTCTCCTTTTTTTTCTCTCTCTCTCTCTCTCTTTTCACGCTATACCTTTCTTTCTCTCTCCTTTCTCTATAGGCCTCCCTCACTCTTTTCTCGCTCTCTTTCTCTCTCTCTTTATTTTCTCTCTCTTCTCTCTGTGCCTCTCTCTTTCTTTTTTCTCTCTCCTTTCTCTCTATGCCACTCTCTCTGTATCTCTCTCACCTTTCTCTTTATGTCTCGCTCTCCTTTATATCTATGCCTCTCTCTCTCTCTCTGAAACTCTGTCTCTCTCTATCTCTGTCTTTATATATATATATATATATATATATATATATATATATATATATAAAGAAAGAGATAGAGAGAGATTCAGAGAGAGAGAGAGTTATAGATAGAAAGGAGAGCAAAAGGAGAGAGATAGATGCATAGAGAGAGAGAGAGAGAGGCATAGATAGAAAAAATGAGAGCGAAAGGAGGGAGACATAAAGAGATACAGAGAGTGGCATAGAGAGAAAGGAGAAAGAAAAATAGGGAATATCATAGAGAATATATATATATATATATATATATATGAGGCATCAGAAACTTAGTTATTTAATTGCGCATGCGGGGAATTTCCCTCTCTACTTTCTCTCTATGCCTGCCTTTCTCCGTCTGCATCATTCTCTTTCCTTTCTTTCTCCTTACTATCTCCTTGTCTCTTTACATCTCTAATTATATATATATATATATATATATATATATATGGAACATCAGAAACTTATTTAATTGCTCTTCTGAAGAATTTCTCTCTCTCTCCTTTCTCTATTCCCCCCCATCTCTCTCATCACTCGCTCTCCTTTCTCTCTATGCCTCTCTTCTGCATCTCTCTCTCTCTCTCGCCCTCTCTCTGCATGCAAGACCGAGTCGTGTAAATCGACGGTGGATATTATTCATATTCACTAATATATATATATATATATATATATATATATATATATATATATATATATATATATATATATATATATGAGGTATTAGAAACTTCCACAATTGCTCTTTGGGGGAATTTGAACACAAAACGCATGGACAAATCAATTTATGTCTATACAAAAACAGAATTATACCAATAAAGAGTGCATACCGTAGTCCGAAAGTAGCCCAGCATATCTTATAGATCAATTGCCTAATTTTCCGCTTCTTTATGTGCCGTTTCCTTTCAGTAGATGGCTTTACACAACTTCCTGTACCTTGAAGCGTGAAGTAACGTTTTATTCTCTTTAGCATTACACCTAGCCTCACAAACACGCCAGGCTGGTTCATCGACGATTCCATCTGCCAATCTGCCTTTCAATTTGTCTAGTAAATGTTTCACATTCTCCAAGCCCTCTATCCTCATAATGTTTTCCATTCACATTCTGATTGTAAGTATAATTGGTCTTCTGTTTCCAATAATTTAAAACTTCTTCGCTGCGCAGGTATTTTATCGATGCTATTCTCAGTATCCTTCTGTAGAACTACTTTGTTATCTCACGACTACATTTCATTTGTGAGATAATTCTCCATCATTCACTACTATATAGAGTTCCACGAGTTTATATATTAGACATCAGTTCAGCATTCTTTTCCTTGTTTTCAACATTTTTCTATCTCTTAATACTTTGCTTAGTTTGTGAAAAGCATGAGATTATCCAGCATTCTCTACCATATAGGAGATCAGATATTACATAGCAGTTCAGCACTCTTTTCTTTGTTTCTAATAACATTTTCCTATCTCTTAATACTTTGCTTAGTTTCTGAGAGGCATGAAGAGATTATCCGGCATTCTTTACCATACTGGAGATCAGATATTACATAGCAGTTCAGCACTCTTTTCTTTGTTTCTAACAACATTTTCCTATCTCTTAACTTAGATTCTGAAAGGCATGAGGATACTGTACAGTATCATTGTCATATAGGAGATAAGATATTACGTAGCAGTTCAGCACTCTTTTGTTTGTTGCTCACGATGTTTTCCTAACAGTTAATATTTCCTATCTGTTAATTTCATATCAATACTGGTAAGAGACATACAGTTACTTGGCTCGGCTAATAATTTAAACAAAATGTTTTTATAAATTTCAACCAAAAGTAGCACTGGTTACTTGGTCAATGAATGCTAATCGTTTTCTTATAAGCTGACAGCTATTATTTTTCCTAGCATTAGAGATGAAGAGAACAGATACTACACTTTGATCCCAACAAAATGACCAGGGAATAGAAAAAAGTAACTCGAATAGCACGAGCTGCTCGGCCAGTGAATGCCGAACGTTTCCTTATAAGGAAACGACTCGGAATAACAAGTGGCATTAATACTTTGTTTAGTTTCAGAAATATTCGAGTAGATTGTCCAGCTTTCACTGTTACATAAGAGATTAAATATGATATAGAAGTTCAGCACTCATATCTTTGTTTCTAATGTCATTTTTCTCTTTTCTTAATATTGTACTTAGTTTCTTGAAGGCGTCTTTCTCTATGCTAATGTAAAACGTTAGATATGGACGCAGCAGTTCATTTCTCTTCTTTTTGTTTCTAACGATATTTTCCTGTTTCTTAATACATTTCTTAGCTTATGGAAGGCGTCTTTCTCTATGATAATGTAAAACATTAGATATTACACATCAGGTCATCACTCGTTTTTTTGTTTCTAACGATATTTTTATGATTCTTATTACTTTGGTTAACTTCTGGTAGGCGTCTTTCTCTATGCTAATTAAATATTACGCAGCAGTTCAGCATGTTTTTCTTTGTTTCTCACGATATTTTCCTGTTTCTTAATACTTTGCTTAGCTTCTGGGAAATATCTTTCTCTATGCGAATGTAAATATTAGATATTACGCAGCAGTTCGACACTCATTTCTTTATTTCTAACGATATTTTCCTGTTTCTTAATACTTTTCTTTGTTTCTGAAAGGCGTCTTGCTCTATGCTAATGTAAGACATTAGATATTACGAAGCAGTTCGACACTCATTTCTTTCTGTCTAACGATATTATCTTGTTTCTTAATACTTTTCTTAGGTTCTGGAAGGCGTTTTTCTCTATGATAATGTAAATTATTAGATATTACACATGAGGTCAGCACTCGTTTCTTTGTTTCTAAGGATATTTTCCTGTTTTTTTTAATATTTTGCTTAGTTTCTGAAAGGCGTCTTTCTCTATGCTAATGTAAGAAATTATATATTATGCAGTAGTTCGACACTCATTTCTTTGTGTCTAACGATATTCTCCTGTTTTTTAATACTTTGCTTAGTTTCTGGAAGGCGCCTTTCTCTATGCTAATGTAAAAGATTACGCAGCAGTTCAGCATTCTTTTCTTTGTTTCTAACGATATTTTCCTGTTTCTTAATACTTTGCTTAGTTTCTGGAAGGCCTGGGTTGATTGTCCAGCATTCACTACAATACAAGAAATTTGATCATAGCGATTTTCCAAGCGTAGCTTAGATGCGGCACAAGGCTGAAAGTAGGGAGGATCGGACTCACTACTCAGTCATAACTATTCTAGCGAGACAAGCTTTCTAACCATTACACCGCCTCGATGTGCCCTTTTAGATGTGGCACAAGGCCGAAAGTATGGGGCACCCAGTGAGGATTGAACTCACTATTCAGTCGTTTGTCATGTATAGCAATTCAAAGGTGTTTTCTTTGTATCTTTTTCGAAATTTCCTTTTGTCATAGTACATTGCTTATCTTCTGGAAGGCATCTTTCGACATTCCTTTTATTTGTCTGTGTCATATATTCTGTCATATAGTCCGTCATCACTGCACTATCCATATAGTTATTTTTCCGCCCCTCCTATTTTTAATTTACATTTTGGACTACTTCGTTTGCAAATGATTATGCATCTTGTCTTCTGCAATGATTAATGTTAATTGTTTTATTTTGGTGAACCCTCTCCGTTTCCTGTTGATTTACGGCGAGTTGGGTTAGCGTTAGGTTTCAGGCTCAAGTGACAATGAGATATAAAGCGAGTTTATAAGTCAACGAGAAACATTTTAGAAGCCTTCGTGATAGACACAATCATTAGTTTTTATTCTTGTTACAGTCAGAGAGTCAACAAGTTTGATTGAATGGTTTTGTTTAGCGGCCTATTAATCTCTATGGCTTATTTAGTACGAAATGTAAATATTTTTACGCAACGTTTGTTAAAATTAGTAATAATGATTTTAGTGATACAAGTCTTACTAATTAAGCCATGGCTGGGATGAGAAGAGGTTGATTCATACCTTATTCCAAGTCTATTCATACCTTATTCAGATGTAATTCATACCTTATTCCAAGGCTATTCATACATTATTCCAAGTCTATTCATACCTAATTCCAAGTCTATTCATACCTTATTCCCAGTCTATTCATACCTTATTCCCAGTCTATTCATACCTAATTCCAAGGCTATTCATACTTTATTACAAGTCTATTCATACCTTATTCCAAGGCTATTCATACCTTATTCCAAGTCTATTCATACCTAATTCCAAGCCTATTCATACCTTATTCCCAGTCTATTCATACCTTATTCCCAGTCTATTCATACCTCATTCCAAGGCTATTCATACTTTATTACAAGTCTATTCATACCTTATTCCAAGGCTATTCATAACTTATTCCAAGTCTATTCATACCTTATTCCAAGGCTATCCATACCTTATTCCAAGGCGATTCAACGAACCCAATTGAAATTGAGCCTCGGCTATCCGATTAGAAAATCCAAAATTTATCCATTATAACACCTGTACATCCAAGCTTACAATACCTGGTAATTTGAAGCCATTAACCATTAAACAACCCGCAAGATTACAGCACCTAATATTCCCAAGTGGTCACCCATCTAAGTACTAATCAGTCTCAACGTTGCTTAACTACGTGATCGTACGGGAACAGGCGTTTCAAAGTGATGTTTCCGTAAGCCAAGAGCAACTCAAACAATAGAAGCTGTTGTGAAACTAAAAAAAAACATCTTGAAAGACATGAATCAAAGATCAGTCTGGCGCATACATTGGCCTTCCTGGGCTTTCTCTATAACTGCGATTGATTGATTTGTTTTTTACGGTTTATCAACCTTTTGCAGGTTATTTAAAAACAGAAACATTTTAGAGTGTAAGAAACTTTTTTTAGAGATAATATTGATTTACTGATAAAAGTCCTATTAATTAACGGATATCTAATGGGTAAGATGTGGATTCATGCCTTTCCCAAGGTTATATGCTCGTAACTGAATATAACGAACCAGACTGGATTTCGAACTCTGTTCTTGGATTTCTAATTTCGAACCGTTATTTATTACAACACCCGCAAATCCAAATTTACTGCCCCTGGTATTCACAAGCGGGCATCCATCTAAGTCTTGACCAGGCTCGACATTGGAATTGTACGCATGCGGATCTTGAACATAACAGTAGAATTACAGCGAATAATCCAACTCTTAGGAGCTAGGCGCTATAGGATCATCCTAAGAACCTTTGTTACAAACCGAGATACATTTGATTAAGTTTCAGACATCACCAAACAGAAAACAAACCAATTGGATGGCTTCAGTCAGCAAAGAAAAATTGAAAGGGTATAAAGACATCATAACAGCCAACAATACCGGGCGTAACAGCAAAATTGTCTAAATCGTGTTATAGCAAAATTATCCAATTATTAGATTAATTTTTGAACCGTTGTATCGTAGAAATGATTAAAAATATCTTACTGGAATTCACCGAGGTTTTTATAACACTATTGGACTCTACTTTTGTTGTAACCTAGGGAAGGTTATTGAATAGAATAATCATACGAAGGTTGGTAATGAACGATAATACTTAGGACACGAACAACGCATATAAGATTCGCCAGCGGCGCGTAGAAATGTAGTCAACTGCTAGAAGTGCGTCGAGTAAATTCCACAATGAATCTCCAACTGCAGAATATTTGCCACCCGCCCCACCCGGTCAGATGTGGCACAAGGCCGAATTTAACGTGGGGTTTCCGAGTCCGTAAGCTCGGGCAAAAATTCTCCGTAGGCCACGTAAAAAAATGGGGTCGGGTAGCTGTCTACCACCCCAGTCGAGACTTTGCCCTTCGGCATAGCCTCGTCTGGGTTCCTGTCTGCCCGAAGGCAGAGTTCGACTAGCACAGTTGGAGATGAATCTCCAACTGCAGACCAACATACATTATTTACTATTGTATTTATGTGAATGGGGACATACCTATTATCGTGCTTAGGTATGCTACAGCAATTTTGAACAATAATAATGTATTTAGCTCTAAGTTGAAATGATGATCCCTCGTGCTGTTTTGATCTCCTGTTCCATTTTCCCCCCTACTGCCCTCTAAACTTATTCACCATTCTCTTGATGGTTCTTGAATGAACTTTGAAGATGGAAGCCAGAGTATGACTGTTGCTACCATTACTGAAGGCCGGAATGATCTTTTTCCTCTCAGCATTGCTCAGTTGAGAAGATATAAACACAAAACGATTTTAACCTGTTCTCTTTCTAGCTGAATAACTCAAAGGATTTTTCGGTGATTCTTACGACAAATGGTGTCAAGATTGCTAAACGTCTTATCTGAAAACCTGTTAAAAAGATACTAGTGGTCTTTATAGATATTAAGCATTTTGTGGGATGGACAATTATCCCACGCTGTTACACGATTTGGACAATTTTGCTGTTACACCTGGTATATCCATTATGATTCTATAAAGTTCCGCCTAAGTCAAAAGAAGGAGGCAAAAGTAAAAACAAATGGGTTGACACGCTACTGAATGGACAAGTAGATCATTCAGAGACTTTGACAATGGCATGCAACCAAGGCATATGGAGGGAGGTGGTCATGTGTTCTGCTGTCCAGCGATTCTATCACCAAACTCGGTCATGGGACAGTCATGATGATATTACAATGAAAATTGGCGAGCCGGGTTCAAATTCCATTGGAGTGTTCTCTGTTCGTTTCATAATCTTTGGAATAGCATGGATTCACCTTTTCTCGCTTCTCCATGGATTAGATAACAGGACGGGTAGGGGTTCTCTAAACGTGGATAGCAGCCAGCCAAGTGCAACGAACAATTCTAAATTAAAAGCTGTGGAGATGGAAGCAAGAAACTACAATCATAGCATTTCAAAAACAATAATGTATGTAATTTGAGGATAGCCATTATCACTAACGCCTGAAATTTTATTGATTGAATGATTTTTTACGGTTTATCAACCCTTTGCGTGTTATTTATGTTATTTAAAGTCGATACATATTTATGATTATAAGAATAATTCTTTTTTTATTTATATAGAATTAACAACTTGTTGAGAATAACAAAGACTTTTTCCAGATATAAATTTTACTATTTAACCCATAGCTGGGGCGAGAAGTTGGATTCATACCTTTCCCGAATATATTTGCACGTAAGTGAATGCAACGAAGCCGACTGGAATTCGAACTCGGTTCTCTGATTCCGTGACGCTATCCCATCACCCCACACCCTACCCTCCTTACTAGTAGAAGTCATCCAACTGGCGTCAGTCCTTAGACCCTAGGCGGGATAGAAGCTTGTGCAATCACGTCACTTTTGATCCATGATTGAAATTCATATATGATTCTCTGGGGCATAAAGTCGGGAATCGATTTCCTGTTGTCATTGAGTACTAAATTGATCCTCCCAGAAATTATAGATATTAATATCCTTCCTTAGCTTCCCCGTCCTGGGTATGACGATAAACTACATCCGGGTCCTGGGTAAGACGATAAACTACGTCCAACAGCAAGGCCTTTGATCAGGAGGTTTTGAAGAGCATGGAACCACCTCTTAATTGTTGGCGTTCAATAGATCCACCCTGACCCGGAGTGGTAGCATATGTTCGGGTCCCAGCTATGGCAAAATAGTTAATTCCAAACTGGGGTCAAAATACTATGAAAGTGTAAAAATAGGTTTTAACACCAGAAATACTTTATAAAAGATTATTACCAGCAATATCTTTTTGAAAAATATAGCTATAAATTTTTGAGAACAAAAATATTACCATCTATACATTTTTTAGAAAAATATTACCAGCGATACATATTTGAAGGAAAATATTACCAGAAATAGATTTTTTGAAGGAAAAAATATTACCAAAAAATACCAACAGTAAAAATTTTGTCGGCATTAAATAACCCATTGAGGTTGATATGCCGTAAAACAAACCAAACAAAAGCAAACCAATCCTTAGCTGCCATGTCTGATAGATGCTTGGGCGACCATGTCTCTTTTCGATTCATGATTGAAATTCATATATGATTCTCTGAGAAATAAAATGGGGGATCGGTTTCCTATTGTCATTAAGTACTAAATTGATCCCGTCAGAAATGATGCATATTAATATCCTTCCTTAACGGAACATCAAAGCCTTCATGGCTCATTTAATGCCGAACTTTAATTTTCTTAGGAGCTTTGAAGTAATAAATATAATATATATGTTATTCTGCTTTCGCAGTTGAATACATGGTAGATGATACTCTGCTTTTGTGCATATACTTGTTTGTGTGGACACAATTATTAGAGGCGGGGATAGGTGTGTTTTATGTTGTAGTTGGATATATATTGTGGAATACAGTTTGATTTCTTCAAGAAATTGTGGAATATTATATGGATTAATATCATGAAAGTGTTCTTTTTTGTTGGTTGTTTGGTTGACTTTGTTTAGTTGCATACCAAAATCTCTATAGGTTATGTAATGGCGGAATCTAACTGTTTTGAATAAAGTTTTATGTCTTCACATACAGATAAAATGTATTATTGGTAACTTTTTTAAATAAAATTTATTGTTGATAATTCTGCGTAAAAAATGTATCGTTAATAATTTTTTAAAATAAATATGTATTGCTGGTATTTTTACTATAAAATGTATTTTTTATACTTTCATAATTTTTCGGTGTTCTCTATTTGCCTTTTTGGGGGCACGGTGGAGTAATGGATAGCAGCTTGGATTGAGGAATCGGAGAGCCGAGTTCGAATTCCAGTCGGATCCATTACATTCACTTACGTGCTAACACCTTGGGAAAGGTGTAAATCCTCTTTCTTCTCCCTCTAGCTATGGGTAAATAGCAGGACAGACTGGGTTCTATAGCCTTGGATGGCAACTGGTCTAGAAGGAAAACTCTGAACTCAAACCTGCTCTTAGAGGAGGGTGAATGGTGTCTCTCTGAGCCTTGGTTGGCAATCCATTTAGTGTTGGTGTCACGATAAAAACACCCTTGATAGTCCTAGCGAAGCATTAAGAATTCAGCTATTTGACAAGATTATGAACTACACCAATCAAAGTATTGGTGAGTTCAATCTCGGCTGAGGCCGCAAGATGATGATGATGATTTGCCCATAGCTGGGGCCCTAACAGGTAATACCACCCTAGGTCAGAGTGGATCTGGGAGCAACACTCCTTAAAACCTCCAATTTCCCGATCAGAGGCTTTGCTGCCGGATGTAGTTTATCGTTATACCAAGGATTATGTAAAGGTCTGAATTAAAGAACGGACCTCCTGTGAATATTTGCAATGGGAATAGGGATAGAGTAGCGTTAGTCTCGCGACATTTCGTCTGTAGGAAAGAGGCTGTATGGTGGAAGTTAATTCATCGCCCACATTCCACGTAAATGATTCCGAACTCTATCAATGATGGAAAGTGCCAACTGGGCAGCCCCAGCCCAGATATGGCAGCAATGCTCCATTTTTGAGTTTGGTTTCCAGTTAATGACGTAGGAAAAAGTCTGAAACATATTTCACTGCGTTTGCTATAATTTATCTAAGACGAGATTTTAAAAGACAAATCATACTTACTTGATAAGTAATTAGGCTGGCGCTAACGCGTTTAACAGGATAGGGGGTTGCGCATACTTTTGACTAATATAAATGCTCCTAAGTCATGTAAGTAGTTTTCAGAATGTTCCTGACTTTCAGAGACGATTTCATAATGCACTGGCTCGGGAGCACAGAACATAGATAAATGTAATGATAACATTTAAGAATAGACAGACCTGGCCTGCGGCAACAGCAATAGTTCAACGTAAGAGCAGTATTGAGTGAAAGCTCTAATCATAGCTGTCAAACTGACCTGCATATCTCAGCGTAGATCCAGACGATATATGTCTATATTTATAGATATACGTTCGTGATACGAGAACGCATTTGAGAACGGAACCTATAATACGTTGATACAGCTATCAGTATTAGGAATTCGAACTATGTATAGGCGTGTCACATATATATAAATCGATGAGCGAAAGATTCTGAATTCAATGTCTGGTCAAAGGTTTAAAATTCAACGGCTGTTGAAACGTGTTTCTGTGGCAACGTCTCTGTTTGAAGGAACCGATATTGTAGCATATTGAAAGAGGTGCGAATCAAATAATAGTTTTGTGGACAAATGCCTGCATGGACAGGCAAATATTGTAGGTCAGGGTTCATTCCGGGGAAAATTGCTTGCGCCTCTTCCGAAAATTGTTTCCAACCATTTCGCGCCATTTCTCTGAACCTTTTCACCCGTTTGTCTTCCATGTGCCGAGAGCAATTCTCACAGAGTAATGACTAGAGTTACAAACACGAAGACAGTTGCTGTTCGATACACATTGGCTACTTTAATAATGTTGATAACTGCGAAAAATAATCTTTTGTCTTACTAGATGACTTTTCCGCTTATACGGAGTAAGACATCTTGATTTGGCTGGCACTTAGCAAAATTTTTATATATATGAAGGGTGTTCTAATAAATGGGACCGATTTTAAATGTGAATTAAGTTTAACCATCCAATGATTTTTTCTTTTTCTTTCACATTTAACAACTTCTTTTGCAATTTCAACCATGGAAAGATTAACAATCAAACAACGTGTTAAAGTTATCGAAGCCTATTACGAAAATGGACGTTTAAACAGAATTTACCAGATCGCATCATCTCTTGAAATATCGAAGTCAATTTTTCCTCCACGATCCTGCGATATTTTAGATTTTTTCCTTTGGGGGTCATCTCAAAAGTAAGATCTATGCTAATAAGTCAGCAACAATTCAACAGCTGAAGGATGAGATAATAAGGCATATTTGTGATATCGAGGAACAACTGTGCAGAGACGTCTTCAAAAAATCTTGACCATCGAGTGGAGGTGTACCGCCGAAGACTTGGCGGACATTAGGGCGATATTATTTTTCACACATAATTGCCATGACTTAATTAACATGAACCAACAGATAAATACATAAAGTTTCATCAATAACACTGATTTATTTACTGCTGACTTTCATCCGTCTTAATGAAACACCCTTTATATATATATATATATATTTTATTAAAGACATTTTTTTTATGTTTAACGTTCTTTTTTATAGATACAAGTATTTAAGTAAATGCTCTGTTTATAATAAACAGTATTAAATAACATTTACCGGCCTGAGTGTCCGAGAAATTTTCATAGAAAATATTCGTCCTTTGACAGGATTTGAACCTGCATCCTATACGGAACCGTCATTTACACTGACGTGCCTTACCAATCGGCCACAAAGGAGCGTTCAGTAGGCAAGGTCGAATTTACTGCTTATAAACTTCAATCTTCCATGAATCTCGTACATTCATAACTGCTCTGGCGTATCAAATGTAAACAAATGACGTATCTTGTATCTATAAAAAAGAACGTTAAACATAAAAAAAATGTCTTTAATAAAATAAATTGTCGGACTTTGTCCTTTTCTTAATATATGACGTCATTTGTTTGATGTATTGTATTTCTATCTGGACCTTTACAGACAATAGAATTATATTCCATTTGTTATTATTTTATCTATCTATCTATCTATCTATCTATCTTGTATATACATATATATATATATATATATATATATATATATATATATATATATATATATATATATATATATATAATTTCAGTTGAGCTCTCTGGGAAGGAAGTGTGGATTTGTAAACAGTGACTATTACTGCTAACAATGCATGGCACTTCAGTAAATCGAATCGAGTTCTCTCAGTCACTGAGTGTTTATCTAAAAAATAAATACGCTCAAATTCACCTTCAGCCCTGCCGTGCGCCAACGGCTTAGCGGGAAAATCCTCGGCTGACGCCAATTCAGTCGGGTTACTCGCTAGAGGTAACAGGAAGTATAGCCACACTGATGAGCTGTGATATAGCAGAACAGTCTGTCTGTGGATGACAATGATATATATATATATATATATATATATATATATATATATATATATATATATATATATAGGACTCGGTAGATATAACTCCCATACCTACTTCGCAGAAATATGTCCCAAATAACGTTAAGTCATTAGTGGCAATGGTGTTTTCATCTTTTCCCACCACAACCGGAGAATAAAGATTATAGGATTTTGCCTTAGAGCTCTTAGGATATGTAGTCCTGAATACCTTAGTGAAGAAAATGATTATATTGAGAACACATTGAAACTTCTAAACTATCCATATCAGTTCATCTTAAAAAAAAAAAAACAAACTCATAAAATCCATAAAACCAACCAAACAAATACTTCCAATAAAAATTATGAAAAATTTCCTCCAACACTTCAACTAAATTCGCAAATGAATTTGTCATTCCTATTACGAGGATTATTACAACACCCTCCATATAATTATGATGAAAAAATAAAATAGAATAAAACAATTCAAATACCGGAGTTCATCAAATAAAATGTCTACAGTGCATTAACATTTACATTGGGGAGACTTCACGTGATGTAAAAACCCGCACCCGGGAACACAAAAGAGATTTGCGTTTAGATAAACATTCAAATTCTCTCGTATCACACCGTAACGACGTAGGATATAACTTTAATTTCACCAATGCCAGCATTATTTTTTTTAAAAAAGAACATAACTCTTTAAGGAGAAAATATTATGAAAATATATTTATAGCAATATTGCAAACTCTTAACACCCGTTTAAAAAAAAAACTATATTACATTAACATTTTTCTACAGATCCATTATTAATAAATCTAACTTAATCTTCCGAATATATAAAAATCAATATATATACGAAATACGCATGAGATATACTTTAATGAAAACTCTAACAAAAAATATCCTGTAACTTCTCACTCGTCCAGAATATCCCTCACATATATTTGAATATTATCCGTATCTAACCAATAAGAAATAGCCAAAAACAACATACCATTAATCTTCTTTAATTAAGCATTTTATCATTTCTATCTTGATCTCTGACGAAACTTCCATAAAGTTAAACATGTTAGATTGAGATCTGTTTCTTACTTGTTCATTATCCTATACTATTTATTCATTCGTTCGGCGATTGAGCACTAGAGGGAATTTTGTCGGCTGTTGCTGATTCTTTATTGCATCACTCTTGGTAAGAATTGAACGCTGTGGCGGCCGGTATGGCGTTTATATATCACGTATATAATGCGTAAAAACATTCTCTGTCGTTCGCCGATAAGAGTCTCTAACTGATGTTAGATCGGTTGTGTTTCGATCCCGGCTTAAAGCAAATCGGATATCTAGGCACACTGATGAGCTGTGATACACCAAAACAGTCTTACTGTGGATGACTATATATATATATATATATATATATATATATATATATATATATATATATTCATTAAATAATATAGACAAGTGTTGTCTATTTATTTTATGTAAATTTTTTCATAACGTCTGATAAATTTAATAACTTAAATGTCTATAATTGGTAACAGAAGTCATTGGTTTATACCAATGGCTTCCCATACTTCATACTTCTCCAATTCACTCTCGTGTGGTCATGTGTGACGTCATGAGATGCGATTTTCGCTTCTAGCGTCTTATATGCACGTGTTTATCGTTGCTTAGAAATCATCTATGTAAACAATGACAGATTATCATCACTGTATTTTCCGTATATTGCTTAATATGTTGTAACTGAAAACTTTGATAATGGCTTATGTAAGCTGAAAGCTTAAATTGTATTAAAAAATATGGATCGATATTGTGAATTTCTTTCTTCGTTCAACGATAATGTTATTAAACTTATCAGACGTTATGAAAAAATTACATAAAATAAATAGACAACACTTGTCTATATTATTTAATGAAACGTGTATGAATGAAAAGATGCTGCCTAAATACACACAATTTAAATATATATATATATATATATATATATTCCAATAAGTATATATTATTCCATGATCATACATATATATATATATATATATATATATATATATATATATTCCATGATCATTTTCTAACTCATTCTAGATCATCTTAGCCCTTTCTAACTTTCTGTCTATCAGCAACGAGTTTTTTTTTTTTTTATAAAAGTAATGGACTCTACTTTGAGCAATAAGAACGTATAATTATTCAACAAGCTTAACAGAAGAAACGTGATGAAATCGATTATAAACGAAAATGACATGTTCATCATTAATTAATCATAGCCAAGTATCAGAAGCTCATGAAGAATTGGAATCAATTTCAAATATATATATATATATATATATATATATATATATATATGTGTGTGTGTGTGTGTGTGTGTGTGTGTGTGTGTTTGTGTGTGTGGGTTATTCAAGGATCAGTTTCTAACTTATTCAAGATGATCTTAGCCCTTTCTAAACTTCTAAATTTCTGTCATTGAGCAACAAGCTGCCTCACAGGTTTCACGTATGATTTCATGATTGCTCGGTTGGGAAGACAGTGGGCGAACACAAAACGATCTTAAGCTGTTCTCTTTCTAGCTGAATAACTCAAAGTTTTTTTTCAGTGATTCTTACGACAAATGGTGACAAGATTAAAGTTATTATCTGAAAATCTGGGAAAAAAACTAAATTGATTTAGTATTTTCTTTTGTATATTAAACATTTTGTGGAAGTATATTCTAATTGTTACACGATTTGGACAATATACCCGTTACACACGGTATATATATATATATATATATATATATATATATATATATATATATAAAACCAAATGGATAAATATAAGTAAATGTACGAGCAAGAGTTCGTATACAAATATACAAACCCACACACACACATCCACATCCACACACACACATGCCGACGGAATTTTCAAGTGCTGGTATTTTTGAGGTTAACACCGTTTTTTTAATATTTCTAGTTTTCGCGAGATATTTCATTGTTGGGGTGGATAATTATTATTGTTAAAATATTCAAATGAATTGTTGTTTAATTTTGGATTTGAGTTTAGGCCCAGATTAACATTTAAGATTGAAAATAAGTTTGGAAATAATAATTATAAATTTTAATCCAAAAAGACGTTGTTGTTATCAAAAGTAACAGTCAAGGAAAAGCGTTTGGAAATAAAAAGGTAGGTAACTCTATTTTTTCCATGAAAATCAATAAAATAGTTAATAATATAATTAATATTAATATTAAAAACTAAATAAAAGTAGTGATATCAATAATACTAAAATATACCATGATAAAATATAATTAAAGTACTAATAAAAATAATACATATCAAGGAAAATAAAATAACATAAGGAAAATGAAATAAAATAAAATAGAAGCCATATAAATAGGAACATATAAATAAATAAATAAAAATAATAAATGCTAATATGTAAGTTAATAAATAAGCACGTTTCTAATAGTAAGGCTAAAGGTAAAAGAAAAAGCAAAAATCATAACAGTTATATATTAAAAATGGCATTCATTAGATAATGGAAACAATGAATTAGGAAAAAAGTTAAATGCGTTACAGTCTAATGTTAACAATAGTTGTATAGTAACAGTAGTAAAAAGTAAAAAAATATTAATAAAAATTATTAATATCAATGCTAGTATATGTGGCCCCGGGTCCGGCTAGACTATACTAATCTGGGCTAACGTGTTTGAGTAGAAAATTAGTTCTAGGTAGGCATGTACTCATTAACTCACTTCTTTTGTTTAAGAGATTAGATTAATCTAGTTTATATTTATATAGTTAGTTTATATTTTTCAGGATTAATAATTTTTCAGAAAGACATGTTACATCTGTTGCCTTTCCTGCCTAAGTGTTTAGCGTTGGGTATTGATTCTCAGGTGATAATTGGATTTTTATTCTCGCTTTTCAGTTTCCAGAAAAAATTATAGATGGCAGCGCTGTTACTATATTTGATATTGCCTAATGTCATTTGGTGATGATAGAAGCGCGATTTGTAATGGTTTTCCGTAGACCCACATAAAAACAACCTCGTCATATATATATATATATATATATATATATATATATATATATATATATATATATATATATATATATTGTACTCAGAAGTTCCCTTTCTGACGGAATGAGTAAACATCAGAATTATTTCTTGGGTAGGATGAGAATACTTCAACATCTCTTGTATATATTTATGCTAGAGAGGCTGAAATATTCTTTGGGACCTTGGATAAGGCATGAATCATTTTCTTCTCTCTTCATATATGGATTAAATAATAGAGTTGACCGAGCATTCTAGCATTGGGTGGAAACTACTCTGAGAGAAATAAAACGAATTCAAAGCTGTGGAAAAGGCAAATGGAAACCACTCCAATATTTTCCATGAATGCATAACAATTCGCATCTAATAAAGTAAAGGAATATGTGGAGACCCGTGATCACTTACGTTCTGAAGTAAGAAGATATTTTTTAAATTAATAAAAAATCTTTGACAGGATAAATATCAGACATTCCATCAAAATTAAGAAGAAAAACATCTCAGAATTTTAATGTTATATTAGTAAAGAAATTAAGAATCTTCAATGTTACAGGTATCATCATCATCAGAAGAAAATAAATAAAGAGAAATAGTAAAAAAAGACCCTTACCTGTGAGCCAAATCCTAAAATGGCCATCATGAAATAGAAGAAAACAGACCAGGCCGGAGCGACGGGCATGCGTGCAAGAGCTTCCGGGTAAACTTCAAACGCTAAACCAGGACCTGATTGAAAGAGTGTAGAGGTCGAATGCAAACTAAATTGGATATAGATGTAAAATTAAAATAATAAGTAGGTAAAAAGTAGCGTATTATTGTCTTATATTAAAATCTTCTGAAAAAGTCTGTCAAAATTCGCAGTTTTGATTTCAGTTAACTTCCCATAGTTAATTTAAAGACACGACAAACCTTTCTGGGTTAACGTCGAATATAAGATATATAGATATTTAGACGTAACTCCTGTATATAATTGGGCAAAAAAATAAACATACATAATTAATGGTTTCATTTACACTTGCGTCAAAAAGTATATATAGATCTGGTTTACACAAGTCAAATCTCAAATATAGTTACTGCTTGCTCTCGGCTAAAAGAAGTAAACAATGGTCCGGTTTACTTTTGCGCGAAAAGGTAGACATTGGTCCGGTTTACACTAGAATAAAAAAGGTAGACATTGGTCCGTTTTACACTAGAATAAAAAAAGGTAGACAAAGGTTCGATTTACAGCAACGTCAAAACTGTAGCCATATTTCTCGTGTAAACTAGAGTAAAAAGGTAGACATTTGTCCAGTTTACACGGGATTAAAAAAGGAAATATAGTTTCGGTTTACAATAAGATCAACACGTAAGATATAGGCCCGGTTTACACTAGAGTAAAAAAATGGTAGACATAGGCCCGGCTTACTCTTGAATCAAATAGATATTACATAGGTTCGGTTTACACTTAAGTCTAAATGAAAGATATCGGTTCGATTTACAGTAATAGATCAAAGACGTAGATATAGGTTCGATTTGCACTAGATTCAAATGCGTAGACATATGTCTGATTTATAGTAATATATATAAAAAAAAACATATATGTTGCTTTGAGTTAAACAAGACTTAGAAAAGTAGACATTGGTCTGATTTACACTAGAGCAAAAAGCGTAGACATAGGTCCGGTTTACAGTAATATATAAAAAACGTATGTGTAGAATTTGAGTTAAACTAGGCTTAGAAAGTTAAACATTGGCCCGATTTACACTAGAGCGAATAGATAGACATAATCCGGTTTACCCCAAGTCAAAACGATAGATAGGTCCGCTTTACACTAGTGTTCTCAAAACTTTTGGAGTTTCTCCTGTTCACAGTAGATTATAAAAAAGAGGTAAAGTTTCGGTTTATACAAGAGTGAAAAAGATCGACACAGGCCCAGTTTATGCTAGAGTCCAAATAGTAGGGATAGGTCTGGTTTACAATAGTGTCGCAAAAATAGACCTAAAACCGTTTTACACTAGCGTAAAAAAGGTAGATACAGGTCTGCGTTAGACTAGAGTCAAAACGTTGCGTATAGGTCTGATTTACACGACAATGAAACTTGTGATACGCCTTCAGCTTATATCTGAGTTAAAACGTCGCCGTAATTCTGTTTTCAAATAGAATGAAAAAGGTAAACACAGGTCTGCCTTAAACTAGAGTAAAAATGGTGGCATTTGAGTCAAAAGTTTAATGTTGGTCGGGCATATGACAGCTGGCCGAGGTATCCACTTTAAAATTGGCCTCTTTTAGAAGGGGTCTTACTCCTATAAGGGATGAAGTCAACATATTCTAAGTCCCACCGACAGGGGCAAGTTGTTTACTTTTTTAATTTCTATATTTAAATGTACTTATGTAAAAATCATTCGCACTGGTGCCTGCTTACCCATTCTGTTTTCTCTTAATTAACCAGCATGCCATTGTAGAGATGATTTGATAAGGTGTCTGACTACAGAACAGAATGCAAGAAGATTGATTGATTAATTGATTCGTTTTCTACGGCTTATCAACCCTTTTGCAGCTTATTTAAAGCCAGATAACATGTTAAGATTTTGTGATACAAGTCTTATTAATTAACCCATAGCTGGGGAAGAAAAGGTGGATTCATACTTTTCTCAAGAGTATTTACTCGTAAGTGAATATAACGGATTCAAAGGAAATTAGAACTCGGCTCTGTGATTAATAATTCTAGGCCATTAGTCATTTAACAGCCCGCTCATCTAAGATTACAGCATCTGGTATTCTGAAGCAGTCACCCATCTAGGTACTAACCAGGCTCGAGGTTGCTTAACTTCGGTGATCGTACGGGAACCGGTGTTTCGACTCCAGATTACAGGGAGAGCTGGTTTCGTGCATTTTATAGTTCTAAGTAAACTTAACCTATCTTTTGTGGAATTCAGAATTGATTCGCCAATTTCATTATATCAACCCAATGCGATTTTAAATATGTATCAGTCATGCAGCCTGTTTTCCCCTTTTTTTTTCTTTTGGTAATCAGATAATATGCTGTTATGATAAACTGATTCACTAGCCATGCCGATATGCTAATATATTTTGTTTTACCATAACAACGGTAAATTTTAGTTGTGAGAAGGAAGAATATGTTATTGATACTTTTCATTTCTTATACAATAATGCCTTGAGGTACGAGCGTACCGACATACGAGTTTCTTTTAAGATTCGAGCTGGAGTTTGACCGATTCTTTTGCCTTGAGATATGAGCGAGTATCAGTTAAGCATTCGCTAGTTGGCGCAGCGAACGCCAAGCTTCAAGGGTATTTCCACTCGCCGTACACGCGCTCTGAAAGGATCTCTGTTGCGTTGTATCTTTTTGCTGTTATTTTGAAAAATTCCTTTAGTGACACAATGGGTCCGAAGAAAGTAAGTGTAAAGAGCAGCGGTGAAAAGCCGAAACGTATGATTTCACGAGGTAAAGTGGGAAATTACAAAATAAAAAAAAAAAAAAAGAAAAAAAACAAAAGAAAAAAGAAAAGAAAATGAGGAAGACGTACGAGTAATGGATTTGGCGAGACAGTAGAAGCGTCCTATATAGACGCTAAATCAAAAATTTAAAAGTTAAGTGATAAAGTTAATCTTCCGTATCGAAGACTAGGCTAACCTTTGCTCGGCTAGGTTGCTAAGCTAACTGTTCTTGTCCCTCTCTCTTTCTCCTCGGCCAGTTGGCCTATGACTCAGCTGAACTTCATGGTTTAGTATAGTTTATTTCTTTACAATTTGTTTTTTTTTTCTCTTTTATTTTATTGTTTGAAAACTGCATTTATTGTTTATTCACACGTATTTGCTTGTAAGAACCTTATAAATACAAAAAATAGAGTTTTAGGAAAATAAGGGTGATTTTTAGGCGCCTGGAACGGATCGGAAATATTCCAATTAATTTCAATGAGGAAGATTGATTTGAGATACGAGTCTTTTGAGTGAGGAGCACAGTCTTGGAATGAAATCAACTTGTATCTCAAGGTATTACTGCATAACGTACTTTGGACATATTTAAGGATTTGAAAAGCTGAATTCTTAGATGGACGATAGAATTAATTTTCTGAATAAAAATAAAACATTACGCATGCAGTGTATATAACCAATCCAATTGCAAAAGTATTCAAATGTGGATGTTATTTATCGACCTTCCGAATCGTGTTAGCTTTCTTCGGATATTTCGACATTTAAGTATTTAAAAAGCAGTATTTTTGTACATCAAACAGGAGAGTTAATTGTATAGATTAAAAATCATAGTTTAACATATATAAAATATAACAATACAATTGCAAAATTACTTAAATTTAACCGTCATTTTTTGATTGTTTGGTTTGAGTGAGCTTTCTGTTTCGTTTTATTTTCAATGATTTAAAAAGCAGTATCTTTTTCTTAATTGCAACAATATATTTAACTATATAGATTAAAAATCCTAGCTTATTGATATATAAGATATAACCAATGCAATTCCAAAATTAATTAAATATGGCCGCCATATATTGAGGCTACGTGTCGTCTTAGCATTTTTTTATATATATATATATTTATATTTACTTTTAATGATTATAAATCATTGACATCGCGTTAGTCATATGGGGTATTTAGTTACCACAAAATTTTGAAAGTAATCGTAATTCCTGATTAGCAGCTTGTTTCTTTCGCCTCCTCTCACTAGTCTCCTGATTCAGTGAGGGTGAGCAGATCTAGGCGTGGCACAGTTATAGCTCAGTTGTTGTAGGAGTCAGGCGTCGATTTTTCTTCTTCGGGGTGTCCTGTCGCCTACCCGACTGACAGGACAAATCTATCTATCTATCTATAATGTAAGTCTATTTAAACTCGGTGAGTGAAAAAACCTGGAGAGCAAAATATTCAAATTGTTATCCGAAGAAAAATTTGGAACAAAAAAGAAAGCACCAGAAACCTCCGAACAGGGCAAAAAATCGTCCAGTATCTTAAATTTCTGGTACAAAGAAATAAAAAGCCAGTGAGTAATAAGTTAAAACGAGGAGTGCTCTAATACGTTAATCAGAGCAAAAGTAAAATAAATAAATCCTAATGAGCCAGTTACTACCTACCTAGGTTTCACTACATGGGATTATCAGGTGGACTGCCCAGTTCACCATGATCATCTTATGTGGTGAAAGCTAGGTAAGCTAGGTAGTACCTGGCTCATTATATATATATATATATATATATATATATATATATATATATATATATATATATATATATATATATATATATAAAAACAGGTTTCGTTAAAACATTTAGACATCCTATGTCTATTTATTTTTGTTTTTGTTTGAATCCTTTCGTATCCACGAAACAATTTCAGTGAGAAAATGGAAAAGAAAAGAAAGAAAGGACAAACGAAAGAAGAAAAGGGAAGACAGCAGTGTTTAGCGGCTCCTGAACTAGTCCGTTTTGATTGCGTGTAAAGACAGAAGGCATAGAAAAGAAGATAGAAATGTTTAACATCTTGATGGAAATGTTTCAAATATTTTAATTTGTACTCCTTTACTTCTTAGAATAACGATGAGTACTTATATTCATGATTCTTAATGCAAAATAATGTTAAAGTCGTTAAGCTCAAATACTTAACGATGTGATAGGAACATTTCTACGGACATTTTATTGTCATAAAATTCTCTATGAGCCTATTTAGTCATCAACATAAGAGTTAAGATTCATCATAAAATTTATGTAGGAAAACAGTGAAATATCCACGGGTGTTTGCAGTCTGTAATAATTGGGTTAGAAAAGTATGCAAATTCACAAGAACTTTGTTGTTCATTGCTTAAAATGTGAAAAAATACAGATGACAAGATGTTAGATTGATCATAAATTGTTTTAAAAGATCATATTTAAAATATAATGGAGGCCCTTCGACGTGGTGTAATGGTTAGTCAGGTTGTCTCGCTAGAACAATGACGACTCAATAGTGAGTTCCTTCCTCGCTGGGTGCTCTATACTTCCGGTCTTGTGCCGCATCTAAACTACGCTTAGAAAATAATCACCGTACTGAAAATATAATGCAACTTACATTTTAATGTTTGAGAATTAATTCTTTAATATTGACTTTTTGATTTGAATTTTCAAAATAGATCCATTTTTCAATGTTATTTGCCCGACAAAAGCCAGAAGGAACACACAAGACAATACACGATCACCGAAATTAAACAACGTCGATAGTGGTCCGTAACTGAATGTGTATCCGCTTGGGAATACCAGTGGTTGTAAGCATAGATGTGCGTGTGGCATATTGGATAACGGCTCGAAATTGGCAAACGGAGAGGCGAGTTCAAATTCCAGTCTGATTCGTATTATTCACTTATGCCCAAATACACTTGGGAAAGGTATGAATCCATCTCGTCACCTCCCAGCTATGTAGGACGAGTCTCACTAAATAATTATAATATACAAAAAATTCTTACAGTCTGAAAAGGTTTTTTGGCTTTAAATAACCTGCGAAAGGTTGATAAGTCGTAAAAAAACATTTAAGATGATATTGTTACAGTTTTTTGTGTATGTATCATGTAACTAGTGAGTTAGTGAAAATGACTTAACTCCCTTTATAGTCCACCAATAGAAGGTTAACCAATCAGAAGTCGCAGAACATTGTATCCGTCGTGTATAAAGGCGACCATCTTTGTTTACCCTACCCGAATGACCAGTGCCAACTTGTCAGGCGAAGGTGACAGAAGGAAGAACTACGCTCTGCTATTTTGCTGCGATATCCACTGCGAACCTGAACTACACTTTCCCACTGTCTCCGAAATATTCACTGCTAACCTCTGGATTCTATACTCGAAGACGACCGTCAAAATGTCTAACAGATATATAAAAAAATAGAAAAATAAGAACTAAATTATATTTGTATAATATTTTGAATTAAGTTTTTGAAAACAACACGTTATTAAAAGTTTCACAAAGTTCTCCACAATACAAACAGAAGATGATGGAACATAGACTATTACAATTCTAACGCTGTCGGGTGTCGTTTGACTTATGTTTCACTATCAAGATTCCAGAGAATGTTCAAGCCTTTGACGACCTGAGGCTGCGCAGGTCAGTGGATCGTTAAATGCGTTCTTATCAGCACAAACTATACTTCAACCGCTCGACCACTTTGCTTAGTATAGACTAAAAGGGGGCGCACGCTATATATCGGCCAGTGAGCAGGACTGATATCCAAAGGGCTGACCTATACGTTATTCATATCTCGGTGATTCACTTTCAGGGAGAAGAATAATTTTAGAAAGAGTAGACGTTGTAGGAATTCGATAAGTAATCTTGGCAAGCGGCAAAGACAATCAAGAGAAGTCAGGAATATCAAAAACCTTTTATAGCTAGGAAAACCGTACGTACATTCATGCGTATATAAGTGATTGTTTTGGAAATATATATTTATTCTGGTAAAGAGTTTAGGGAGGAAAACAAATATGTGTGAAGGCCTCTACATAACTATGCGTACACATAAACACACACACAGACAGATATATGTATATATATATATATATATATATATATATATATATATATATATACAAGAAAACAAACACTTTATATACATATTTCACAAGCACAAATTATATATATATAACACTTTATATATATATATATATACATAAAACACATACACTATATATGTGTGTGTATATATATATATATATATATATATATATATATATATATACAAATACTTTATATACATATTTCACAAGCACAAATTATATATATATAACACTTTATATATATATATATATATATATATATATATACACTATATATATATATATATATATATATATATATATATATATATATATATATATATATATATATATATATGTATGAAAATTTCTCAGAGTTAAACTGTATAAAAGACAATATTCTCAATTTTCTCAAAGCAAAAAACGTTTTCTTTTCGTTTTTTGCTTTGAGAAAGTCCACATTGGACGAAACCCGTCAGCAATAACTACAGTTTTCCTATTGTCATTTATATCTATGAATATATATATATATTTTTCCAATGAATTAATATATTTTATTTTTATATTCGACATTTTTATTACTTCAAATGATATTTTCAGTGGATACCCGGATTTGAGTATACGTCCCGTTTTTTAAACAGATATTATTTCGTCTACTGACCTGCGCTTATATATATATATATATATATATATGTGTGTGTGTGTGTGTGTGTGTGTGTGTGTTTGAATGTTATTCTTCTTTCAATGACTTTTTCATTTTTGTTTCACACTTCTGTCAAGTTCATTACATGCTACTTCTGGGAATATCTTAAACTTTTGGACTGTAGTGTATCTCTGTAGGCTTTTTATATTAGTCAGTTATATGCCATCTGTGATACACGACTAACGAGGCAGATTTTTTCCCGCAGTAGGTTGCCATTTCCTTCTGCGGTAGACCAGTTGCAACCCAAAGCTATGTCCTGCTAATTATCCATAGCTGGGTAGAGAAGAAGAGGATTCATACGTTTCCCAAGGTTATTAGCATGATAAGTGAATATAATGGATTCGATTGGAATTCGAACTCGGCTCTCCAATTCCTTAATCCGAGCCGCCATC